AATATACTCTACACACAGCCCATATGTGCGAGTATGGGCTCACTAGTCAGTTCGCACACCGTTGGGCCACTTTTCTTGTCGGGCGAGCATACTCTAGGAGCTCCTTAGGCCGGACACCCGTTAGAACTAGTAACCGTCACGGCAGCACTATGCAAAACATAACGATCGTTGCCTTGCCATTGGATGTACACGTCCGTACCCTCGTGATGGAATAGGGGTATCCCCCCAAATGCATGAGGTCCCCAATATTTATACTTTTCTCATTAATGAATATAACCCCGCTATCATCTTTCATGCTTAACATGTCATTTCTCATTTTTCACTCTACGTATCATACATAATCCTAACATGGTTACATTTCATTTCATTTATCGTAATATCATGTCATTCATAACATGTTGTATACATACAATTTAGAAAACATAACATAATGCTCCATTTTTTTAACATGTCATCTCATAACGTGCAATTCACAACAATTACCTCAATGGTTACACAAAACAATCTAAACATAACACATCACATCACAATATATCGTATCATAAACATGTCATATCGTAAACACTTCGTGGTCATATCGTTCTCTAACTTATAGCCTTAACGTTCTTATACCTATCACAGTCATATCGTTACGTGAACGTACCTTAGTCATATGATCATAGGAATGTATCCTAACGCTATCGTTCTATCAATCTATCACAAACCTATCCCTTTCTACCCATATCCTAAACATATTCTTTCATCAATCTCTCCTATCTATAGCACTCCGGTATGTAACCTAACCTTAACGTTTCATAAACCTATCTTACAACTATTGTTACATTTCGTTTTGTGCATCCTTCTCGTATCCTATCTCAAACATATCCTTAAACACATCGTACTATAATCATTATCATACAATTCACATATTATAACATAGCATAAACATAATATAAGCATACCGATTCACAGATAATTCACACATATTAGTATATATGACACGTGCAGAACCATAGACACGTGTCAACATCAAATATAACCATACCGATAGTAAAGCCACTTACCTGGCTAGCTTAAGTCGTTGTCATGAATATACCTTTAATGAAAGTTCGATTCCGTCCTTTGAAATCCAAGTCAACCTATATGAGCTCATGATATTAGTTTCAAGTTTGAACTTTATAAAATTATCTCTAATCTACCTTGGTCCATTGTTAAAAGTCTTGAAATGTTATATATATATATATATATATATATATATATATATATATATATATAAAATGTTATTTTCACTAAATATCTTATTTTCTATTATTACTATTGTAGGGAATATATTGTTAGTGGAAAAGTTTTGTGGAGTTTCTTGTCCTTTGATATTTACGATTTTATTTTTAAATTCTATTCACCAAATCATGGTACTTGTCTTCGACACTCGTGTCGCCTCATTCTTCCGAACTTTGTGTATGCCTCAACTTAGCTTTAATGCACACCCTTGGTTTGTTGGATGATACATCGTCCTCCTTGATCACATCATGGTACTTCTAAATCTTGGCCTAAACATGGTCGGATGGGCACCACTTGAGGATCATCCCTTGTCTATCTTAACGTGTGGGGGTCACAACCTACTTTCTCTCAGTGAGGTTATGACACACAGTGATGTCGTCATCCATACAAGAGTGTCTTACCTTTTACCTGGAAAAGAAGTACCACGTGGCTTGAGTATTTAAAAATACTCCGTAAGTAGCCCCAATATTAAGGTCGAGAAATGCAATCATGGTGAGACCTATCATTTCATAGAATATCATGGTTTTGGTCTCTACTTCTCACTCCAGGCAAAGCTGGATGTGTAGTACTTTCCTAAACATGACCCACGCACGCACACATAGACCCACCAAGTAGGCTCATATACATACCGTTAGGCCTACCCTTCTACGAGAGTATACACTCACTCTGTTAGAAGCCACAGAGGGAAATGAGTGCACATAATATCATAAAAGATATGACAAGTGTTTCGTATGTATGTCTCATAGAGATAAATGGAGGTATGAATTGCATCATGTGTATGTCATGATTAAAACTATGGCGACCTCATGTATTTTGTATTTCATCTGCATCAAGATATTTCCCGTTATCATTAGTGTGGACACATACCTTATGATATTATGTACACCATGATATTATGCGCGCTCCTTTCCCTCTGTGGCTTCTGGCAGCGTAAGTATATGCTAGTCGAAGGACAATTTCAGGGGTATGCATACGAACCTGCCTAATGGATCTATATGCACGTGTAGAGAAGTAGTACACATTCAACTCTACTCAGACTAAAAAGTAGAGACCAAGACTATAATATTTTATAAAATGATTGATTCTACCATTATTGCATATGTTCTCATTTCCTCACCCAAGTCAATTAGACCAAGCCCATAATTTAAAAAATTATGAAGTTCGTGACATCATGTGATTATTTTTAAATGAATGTTTGCATATATTAAATATATCAATTGACCATCAATTAAAACATGTTTTTCAATCATGATATTTTGGCATAATAATATTTTTTAATCTTTTGTTTTAGTGGTTGGAGAAGTTCTACCAAATTACATATTATACCTCAATGGAACTTTTTTTTCCCTTTTTTATTTGAAAACAAAATAACCATTTATCCTTTAAATAAAAAAGAAAAAGAAAAAAAATAGAATACAATTATTGCAAAGTTTTGATAAGATAGGCAAATAAAGGGAATGAAAAAGGATGGTCATAAATATAGCAATATAAAATATTTTAAATACACTAAAATAATAAAAATATCTATAAATTTTATATTTCTTTTTAAAATGATGTTTAAAGTTCAATAATAACTCATAAAAAATCATAATCCACATATATATATATATATATATATATATATGGTAAAAATACTATTTAACAAAACAGTCTTTCTAATATATTTTTAAATTTTAAAAAGTTTAATTTAAAAAAAAATTAAAAAATACACCAATGGTTAAGTAATAATATCCTTAACCTTTATTAAAAAAAGTTTTTGTTATCAATGTACGGACCAAAATCACTCTCTTTTTAATGTTACTTTGAAAGTTTATTATAATTTTTTTTTGAAATGAGTACTAATAATAAGATTATTTTTGAAGTTTTTAAACCGGTTTAAGAATTAGAGAGGTCTACAAATAAAGTGGAATTGAGAATTTTAATCTCGGTCCTAGTAAATTTCTCATTTATTTTTGGATAGATAAGAGTAAAGATTTTTGTAGATAATTTACCGCAATTTTTCTATTTTTTAATCTAATAAATGTCGAAATTTTCAGTAGTTTCTTTTGCTCGAACACATAAAAAGCTGTCCACAACTTTGTACAAATTTTGACTTTTATTATTTGTCATGTTGATAGTAATTTAAAAATTACATGTAATCCGCTAGACATTATATGAAGCTACCCATATTAAGAACAAAAAAGAAATATGGTGTGAACAAAGAGAGTGTAGTAATCATGTATTAAAATTTCTCATGCTTTTCCACCACTCATATCGTGCCAAGTGGAATCGAATCTCTTGCCCAAACTCTCGACACCGACAAACAAGGCTAGAGAGATTTCCTCGCTCTTTGTTTGCAAATTTGTCATTTTTTAAAGGGTAAAAACACTTTTGATCTCTAAATTTATCAATTTGTACGAAATATTTTTAAATAGCTATAGAGATTAATCTGTTATTGGTGTGACTAACAAAATATTTGACGGGGGAGTTTCTCTCACACTCATGACCAACCGAATCTTCTAGCACCACTCACCTACACTTCCAACACGGGCTCCTCCTCCGTGCTAATATCGTGACTACCTCTTCTTATTCCTTCTCTCATTCTCACATACTCATACTCTTACTTAGATTCTTCTCATTTTTCTTAGCATATAGTTTTTGCTCTTCAATTTTAAAAAATATTCATTTATCCATTTTTCAACCGATCAGATCTCGTATCGGTTAGAGAAGAGAACAAAACATTCCTTACAAGGGTATGAAAACCTATCCGTAATAGACATATTTTAAAACTGTGAAACTGACGACGATAAGTAACAAATTGTAGTACACAATATCTATTAACAATAACGTTGGAATTAGAGCCGTTGGATGAAGAGAAGAGTTTGCCCTTGAGATTGAAATTCGGTAAAATAGATATAAGCAGCCATGCGCAATTGAATCCATAGGTGAAGAGTTTCTTGAAAAGGAAAGCTTTAATGCTTTTTTTTTTCTTTTTGTTTTTCTTTTATTGACATAATTGAAAGCCTTTTATTTTTCTTGAATAATTCATTTTCCAAATAAAGAAACTCTATCTTATATGGAACCAATAATAGGGTTTATCAAATCCAACATATCAATTATTGTAATCCCACTTTTTTCTAGGCAATAATTTTTGGTAATAGAAAATAATAATAATAAAAAAAATAACGTTTTAATTATCAAACATTTTTCTTTTAATTTTCTTCTGTTACTGTAAATTCTCTCGGTTGATATATGATTTTGAAGCAAAGATGTATCATTAACGTCATATTTCAAATATGGAAAACTCACACCCACATGATATTTCACAAGCATACGAGATGCTACTGGAAGAACGGTATCTCTAATAGCATGTAATAGGTAAAGGGCATTTTAGTCTTTTCACATGCTACGAAAAGTATACAAGTGGAGCCTCAAATCGTCACTTCTCAAGGTTAGGTAATGCATAATGGCTTCATCCATGTCCAATGATGTGAATGCTAATTCCAAAATGTTCAATTAATTAAAATATCCTTTTTTTTTCCACCAAAAATAATTAGTATGAATTAATTTAATTTCATTATAAAAAAAATTATTTATTTGGCCCCTCACAAAAATGTATGATAAAAATGAGAATTTTTGTTATTAAATAATTCCTTCAAGATATGCTTTTCATATTATATTCCTATAAATCCCTTGATTTAAAATAAATCAATTTAAAATTAAAGAGCTCATTTAAAAAGTAATTATATTTCGCCATTTTTCTTCTTTTTCTTTTTCTTCTTCTTCTTCTTCTTTTTTTTTTTTTTTTTTTTTTTTTTTTTTTTTTTTTTTTTTTTTTTTT